TTCATAGCGTTGAGATTGCATTTTTATTTATGTCTTTCAAACGTTTGAGGCTAGAACGCGAGCAAATCAGGCAGATATTACTGGACTTGGAGCGATTGACCTCTGACACGAGTTTCAAATTAGAAAATATGTTTTTAAAGCGAGCGGAACGAGATTTTCGGGTCGCGAGGCGGCCCAGCTAGCGATAAAATCGCGATGAGTCTTCGAACCGCGAGCCAAATTTTTATATAAGACGAAAGACTTCTTCGAAAGTCTAAAATATTACTTGAGAATATAAACAACAAATCTCTGTCGGCGGTGCGGTCCGGAAGGAAATCTTGTCGAGTCAATTTGACAGTTCTATTGTCTTTTGAAGAAAAAACAGATGACGCTCGCGCGTGCGCATAATCGGGACACTGTCCCTTTAACATGGTCTCTTTTAGGGGTCAAAAAAAGTTTGGGCCACGCCCAGATCGGTCTCCTTTAGGGGTTTAATTCAAAATTTCCGTCGAGCATCCCCACCCCTTTCATATGCGGAGTCCCCCCCTCCCCGGCCCCGGATTATACAATGTAAACAGTGTTGCCAATCGGAATGGCTCTATTCCAGTAAAACCGTCGTAAATCTGTAAAATGTAGCTTCCAGGTCCCGGTTGTTCAAACGTTGGATAGCGCTATCCATCGGATAAATCACTAACCAGCGGATAAGTATTAGGAAAACCGATTGCACTATCCACTGGATAGATATTTATCCACCGGATAGAGCGATCGAACGTGTGAACAACCGGGGCCAGGTGATGAATACTTTTGTTAACAACAAATAAGTGCTTGTCTTGTTAGCTTCAATGATATCACACACAGTAACTAAAGCAGATTGACTTTCTTGAAGCTGGAAAGATACCTAGATCGGTCCGAACACAACAAAATAATGACTACTTACAGGGGTGTAAACCATCCTTCGAACTAACAAAAATACCATAGTTGTGGTGGTCTCGGTGTCTATTGCTGTGGTGATCATAGCCAAAAAATCATGTTCAGTATGTTGGGACCAGCCCTTAATAACACGCAAGCAAGTGTTATTTCTGTGTGTGTTATTCTTTTACAAGTGAGACTTTATGTACGTCTCGCCGTTTCGAGTGGCGAAAGTGTTTACGAGCCGCACTTAAATTAAAGAGAACACGCGAGAGAGCCACAAAAGCGTCTTCTTATTAAAAGTCGTCTCCTTTCGCAAGCCACTCGCGCCATGGTTCGCACAATCTTGAAAAGGTCTTAAATTTTAGTAGTTGTCTTGAAAAGTCTTTGAATTCGAATAAGGCCCTTGAAAAGTACTTTATTTCTTTATTAGGTCTTGAAAAGTCTTTGAAATTCACTACCTTGTCTAATTTTTTTTTTTGTATGAGCAATATCTTACTTCTGTTTCTTTATTTTAATGTGTACCTCAGATGCAATTGCAAGTCTTACCCAATCATTTTGCAAAGTGTTATTGCAGAAGGTAGTATGAAATAATGCGACTCAACCGTTTTATGATGGCTGAAGAAGTAAAAATCGTGAATGACTCCATGACGTATTTTAGCCAATTAAGTGTTCAAGAGGGCGTTAAACAACTTTTAAAAATAATTCTTAGTCCTTGAAAACCCTAATTTGTCCTTGAAAAATCCTGGAAAGTCCTGGAAAATTGCTTGTCTGACGTTGTACGAACCATGGGCGCATAACTTCTCACGATATGCCCCAAATGGAGTGCTTACTTGCGGGATAGCGAGGAAGTACAGCTTTAAACTTAAAAGAATGTGAAGACGTCATGGCTCGCTCATTATTGGGCTACTTGTGGTAAATCCCCATCTAGTTTTCGGTGGCAAGTCATCCCCGACCAAAAAAGACAATGGTGAACGCATATCCCGAAGGAGTTGCTTGTCCCGTCACTGATTTTTACTACTATAAGACTTAATTTAAAATGAGTAAGATTGACAGCCTTTAAGTCTAGTCAGAATAGAAGGAGCTGTAACGAGCTTTTGGTAGAGAGATTTAAGTTGATTGGTGTCTGTTGTATTGTGCGTGTAAAAGCAAAGGTAAAGAGAAATACAGATCGAGAGCTGATGCTAGCGTAGCCAACCGGAGCTGGAAAGTGTGATTATCATAACACTACTTTCCAAAATATTTAACCACTGCATCGCACATCCGGCAGCCTTACGCACCGAAGTCTTGTGTCCCAGTGATTCCACTGCTTCTCATGTCAAAACTCCAGACAAGGAATTACAGCCATCAGGAAAGGCTTACTGAGGGTGCCATATTATCAGGAGCTATAACTGACCGGGGTAGCACACCACGATTATGGCTCCTGGGCCCAGTTGTTTGAAACGCAGATAACGCTACCCACTGGATAAATCTCTATCCAGTGGATAACAAAATTGGTTTCCCTAATACTTATCCGCTGGATATTGATTTATCCGTTGGATAGCGCAATCCACCGCTTGAACAACTGGGGCCAGATATTATGCATGGCCGAAGGGTCTCCTCCTTGGAGATCACAGGACACGTTATCACGAGATTGTTTCCCGGTTGTTTCCCGTACGTTTGTTGTAGGCCGTATTAAGAAGTTTGGAAGAAAGCTTCCTTGTTTGTTGTTGTTGTTGTTGTTGTTTTTGCTTGTTTTTCATTGTTGTTGTTGTTGTTGTTGTTTTTTTTTGCTCGATTATAAATCCGAGAGAGAAAGAGAGAGGACGTCAAGTTAACTTTTTGCTCCCGTAAAATGTCCATTTGGGTGTGCGTTACCATGGACCTGCCACCCAGATCGACATTAGAGAAAAGACAACCAACGAGATTCTGCTGTCAACTGATCTCGTTCCATGTTTTCAAACTGGTCCTGATGATTATTTTGTACCTAAGTCTTATACCTTTAAAGGGTTTTCGCATCCAGAGCTTCTCTGGAGACAGTCATTTTCGCTAAAAGAAAAAGCAATACTGCAGCACATGGATTTCGATCAAGGATGCAGGCACGAACTTCTCAGAGTTGTGAAAACCATCGTCAACAAGGAGGAAAGGTCTTCCCTTAGACTTTTGCGATCATACCATTTAAAAACTGCGTTCATGCACTACATAAAAGAGAATCCGGCCAACTGGGATAACAACTCTCTGGGAAGACACTTTTATGGCTTTCTCCAACGTTTGAAAATTTCTCTCGCAGTGAAAAATCTCCCTCACTACTGGTTACCTAGAGTAAACCTCCTGGAAGAGGATTTCAGTCCTGTCGTAATTCACCAGATGGAAAATCGTTTGGAAAATATTCTTACTAGCAAGGACAAATTAAATCAAATTCTTGGCTGCAAAATGCCGCAAACCGAGACGCAAATACAAAAAAGGAGGAACCCAAATGTTTTGAACGAGCCCTCGCCGCCAGCTCACTTTTCTGGCAGGTCTCGTTTTGTTGTGCCTCGGGACTCATATTCCCGCAGAAATGCCCAGCAATGGACAAGCGCTTCTCGCACTGATAGGTCGCAAAATGCAGAAGTAAAACTCAGAACCCGTTTTCATTTATTGCGTCGGGGTTAATGGTTATAAAAATCATATTTGACATTATAATTATAATCCCAGTAGAGTTACTATTACTTGCGCTAAAGTTAATCAAGAAAGCCATTATGATCCCAGTAGAGTTGCTATTATTTGCGCTAAAGTTAATCAAGAAAGCCATTATGATAATGTTAGAAGCATTAGTGGTAGCGTTACAGCTGTTTGTAGAAATTGTGTGTTACGTGTTGTGTTTTTATCAGTGGTCATTATCTGGCAAGAATGAAAGTCTCGCTCTAAGTGGTGTAGAGCTAAAGGATAGTCCTGTTAATCAAACAGATTCCATTTGATCATGTTACCAAACTGGCAAAGGTTCAGTTTCGCAAGGTAACATAACTACTTGGATTGTCAGAAGTGAAATAACGTGGTTGCCGGATTCCGGGGGGGGGGGGACTTCG